TAAATTATTAAACATTCCATACAATTCTGGTGACACAGTGGTATTGAAATCATTTAAGGAATATAAAAATTTGTGTATTTGTAATCTATGGTTACCAAGTATTCCTACTCTAATAATGTCTCTTATGAAACTTGTAATAACCATTAAAACGGATCTGGAAGTAAAAACTATATTCAATATAAACACCTGACAAAGATTTTGTTTTGACAAAAAATAGGTCTCTTCCCTTTCATCATGTCTGAGTTGTAAAAGAAAGTAACTCTGAAGAAAAGTTGTGCAATAGTCTTTTTGTCAATTCTGAAATTGACTTTGTATTAAGATATCCATTTGTAAGAGTTGTTTCCCTTAGGAGGGACATAAATTTTCATTGGCAATGAAGAGCTAGCAGAAAGAGAAAATTCATCTCTGCGCAAGTTTTTTAAATCTACCAGTAACATTTCATCTTTTGTTAAGCTAAAAACTTTTGATATCAATACCAGTAGTTATTTATCACTTAAAATCCCTTTACATGTATATATATCAATTTAAACTTAACATGCTTTGCATGGACAGTGGCTCATATTGTCTGGTTTAGAACCAGTCTAAAATACCAAAGGGAAACAACTTGTGTTAAAGGTGTGTAATAACTGAATCAAATCAGGAATTGGCAAATAGACCATTAGCACAGAACTTTAAAATACATAACAAATGAGCTGTGTCGCATAGAAATCAATCATATGCATGTGCATGAATACCTGTACATGTACAAGACTTTGATTGATTTTGGAACATTCAAATACAATATAAAAGATGTTATTTGGTCTGTTTTGTACAATTGTTAAATCTACTCAATTTTCAAAGAGATACAGACTGTGAATAGAGATTATTTGAACTCGAAATAGGTCAACAGATGTATTAATATTCATTTGCATAAGGTTGATTTCTATTGGCTGTAGCTCAAATGATATATAGGATGCCATTCCGTCAAATTTCATTCCATTTACATGTTAATAATTGTAGATAATTTCATTTTTGAATTGACAATCTTCCACATACTGTTGATTCATTATATTCGTGGGATACCAATTTTCATGGATTTAGTGGGTATAGGCAGACCATGAATTTAAATGTTCAAGGGAGAAAAAAAATTTCTGAAGAAGTTTATGCAGACTTTGGCAAAACCAACAAATCAAATATCCATGAAAAAACAAGTTTTTTCTCAATCCACGGAAAGTGGTGCCTACGATTAACAAATGAATCCACAGTAGACTATAAGCAAAAAACTATAAAAATCCACAACTTCAAATGTTATGTATGATGCTACTCTGTCAAATTTTAATCCATTTACACGTAATCTGTAAGTAATTTTGAACTACGTTAACTATCCTTCACATATAAGATATAGCTATATCCATGTACTAATATTAATATTGATAAATTAAAAAAAAATTATTTAATAAGTGTGGCACAACCTACACATTGTGAAGGATTTCTAACAAACTTCTTCCAATTCTCAAATTAAATGTAGAGGGCATCTTTTCACCAATTGTTTTTTTACAGAAAGATTGACAACAACAAAAGCCACAATATATTCTCATTTTTTAAAAATTGGAGAGAATGACCAGGTAAACTGTAGACATGATATGACATGAATAAATAAATTTCACAAATATTCAGAAAAATACAATGCAGTGATACCTAGCTTTAGTAATTGCACAGATTAATTATTAATCATGAGTTCATCCATCTTTAATACAAAGAATTAAACTAACCTAATATTGTATAAAAGACTCTGTGGTTTTCTATTTAAATATGGTCTTGCTAAAAGTACCAAAAGCTCAAGTCTACAAACTTAGTGTGTTCAATAAAAAACAAACACAAAACAAATGTACCAGCCTCAGATCCAGAAATTTTTAGAATGGGGGTACCAGGAGGTTCCAGCTTTAAACATATCAATTTTAACCCCCTTTGGATCCACCAATGTGTATCATATGGTAAAATTGGGATCAAATTATACTGTAAAATTAGACATTTTTCTATCGTTCTATGATTGCGAAACTTGCAAAGGAACAGGTTTCACAAAAAAAAATAGCTTTTTAAAATTTTGAAGCATATTTGTATGCAACATTATCTGAAATGGCAATATTTCTTCTCTTACTTTTGTTCATTTTTTAAAAATTGCAATGATAAATGTACACAATTTTTTTTTAGAATTTACAATGCATATAAGCTGATGTAGCAAAAACATTTGACAGTAACATGCACCCTGTTGAGGAAAACATTAATATACATGTATAGCCATTCTTTACACGTGTAGGTTGAAACCATTTTTGCAGAAATTTTTTAATTGAGATTGGTATTGTATCTGTATATTTTTCACTTTTAATGCATCAGTACTTCATGGGAGTAAGGGCTATTCCAGAAAAAAATGTATGGGTGTGGGGGGTTGGAAGGCACTTTATATTAATAATACATGTGTGATGGGTATCAGAATAACTTTTCACACTATATTGCACTATGATTCTCAATTACAATTATCTGGGTGGCAGATGCTGAAACAAACTGCCTTCCAACCCCCCATCAATTTTTCTGGAATAGCCCTAATATCAAATACGGGAAATTATCAGACACCAAAAATATTCAAAATATCAACGTGATTCACTTGTTCTCAAACAATTTCAGTGTAACAGAAGCTTTTTTTTTATAACTAATCAGAGACTTGTTATTTAAACTTCAAGTCATGTTATGGAGTATCAGTTGTCTCCCTTCAGAAGCATTTTAAGTGTACTATGATATGATAAATTGATTGAACTTGCACGCTTTGTCATATAACAACTAATCATACCTGCCAACTTTTCAAAATCTCCTTGGGGTATTTTAAGCACAATAGGACCTAATGCATACCTATACATGTCACTAGTGTACTTGTTAGAATCGGGCAATTTAGAAAAAATTCAAAACATGGCTGAAAAAAACCCACCGACCTAACCATCCTATTTTGATGTTACGATCATCCTGAGTTAGAAAAGATAGGTCTTTCTTTTATGCGTGTCAGGTAATTTGAGAAATCTCTAGATAACTTTTGGTTAGAATGATAGCAAATTATGGCGTTAGCTCCCCTTAATTGTTAATTTCTAGTGTATTTCAACCAAATTATAACTTGAATTACCAGAACAGGAAAATGAAACGAATGATATATTCGTGCACCATTATACATTTTGAACATAAATTAATGTCAACTTGAGTGGGTTTTTGTTTGTCACGTTTTCACCACTGCCTGATTCCTAGGCAGATTGGCACTTAATAAGAACATCTATGGTTTTGAATGAGTATACATGTGTTCAAAATGTATTTTTTACTTCTCTGAATACTTTTTTTAAAGTATTTAGTCTATTTAAATAATCAGGTTTTATAAGGATTAGGTCAACACTTCTCATGGGGATATCTCCCATAAAAAGGGAAAGTTGGCAGGTCTGCAAATCCTAATTCAATTTGAAATTCTATGCTGATAGTTTATTATTACTTTAAAAAAAAAAGAAGCTTAAAAGATATCAGTACTGTATTATAATTATGTCTTTTGGTAATTAGATATGGAAAATCTTTTGAGTACCGGTAGTCTTTTTCTATTTGTCTTAACATAAATTTTCACTTTCTTTTTAAAGTAGACACTTATTTCATGAAAACCTCATTGAGGAGCCAATGCATTTTTTTCTTAATCCAGAACAAATGAAAAACTTAACAAATTTATCAAAAAATAAACAGAACACTTTCTGTGGATCGAACAAAAGTATTGATGCTAAGACATGAAGAACACAATAATAAACAAGAGTCAATAAAAAGACCTTTTTATGTACATAGAGGCAGATTTCTGATGTAAGTGGAAACACTGATTAAACATGGGTTCCTGAAAACTATAAAAAAAAATTCACACAAATTTGACTGTTCATTTGGTATTAAATTACACAGCAATAGTAATACAACAAATCTTTTAATATCTATACTCTTAAAATAATACTATTTTTTTTACAGTATACTCAAATCAGATTATTTATAAAATAAAACTTGACACTTGAACATATTTTGTGTGTGTGCCAGTATCTTCCATTTCAGGGTGCTTCAGTTTAAGGAAACAAATTTATTAGACACCTTATGTCTGCCATTACAGAATATCACAGATGGTCACTTCAATAATAAAGCCACAAAATAAAATGTCTTCAGTTATATTGCTATGTGATAGTTGCATGAATGAAGTCAATAGGTCAAGTGTAAAATAACCTTTGGTCAACAATCCCAGGATCCAAAATAGCAATATTTTCTTTCAAAATTTGTAATTTTCTACATAACAACAGTGAAATGCACTAAAAAAGTTGACTCTTCTGTACCATATCCAATCTGGGTAATAAACAAAATTTAACAAAAATTATAAAAAGATCAGTTACAAAGTATTTGATCTTTATCTGTGCATAAGACTTCATTTATATGATGAAAAAATAATGTTAAGATAGTCTTCAACAATAGTGCAAATTTCAAGTGAAATTCTAAAACTTCAATAAATATATTCCTTATTCTCATAAATATGATGCTTCATGAGCATAAACATTTGTAGAAGAAAAAAAGTCTTCAAAGAATAACAAAAAAATATTCAACCAAAAAACTACGGTTTACCATTTTCATACTTGTAACCGGATATTTTTTTAAAGACAGTTCTTTAACAATAACATACACAATCTAGGAAGTACACAGATCCAAAATTAAATGATAAATTATAATTCGTTATGTAATTGTAACAATTTACAAGGTGTTTAATCTCTTTTTGTGCATTAGACTTTATAAAATAAAAACAATATGATGATAATCTTCAACAAAGGTATCACAAATTCCTAAGATTTAAACTATATTCCACATTCTCAAAAATGTATTCTTTTAAATGTAAAAAGGCATAAGTAATAATAAAAAAAAAAATTCAACCTACCACCCCTTACCATTTTCTTATTTGTAACCAAAAACACAAATTTTTTGTCATTGACACTAGTTCTTCAACAATAACAATTACTATATAGCTAATTCAATAAATTCTAAAATAACAATTGAATGCTATCTCCTTCTTTCTCCTTTCTGTGTTCTTTTCTTTTCGCTTTCTTTTCTGTCCGTCTGTTTTTGTTTCTGGGCTTCTCTGTCCGTTTTATCTTTTTCTTTCTTTTTGTCAGATTCCATCTTAGATTTTTCTCTTTTTTCTTTCTCTACCTTAGCTACACTTTCAGCATTGACGTTTTTCTGTAACAAAGCTTCAGCAGTGTTAAGGATAAATTATGTACAACTGGACTCAATCCTAATCTGATTACCTGTTCCAGAGGTAACTTTCTGTGCTCAGATAAAAAATAAAGACTTCTTTTAAGTAACCAACCAAATCAAATTAAAGTAAATGGGCAATGTTACAGATTTCATACGCCCATCATTTACAAGATATATTATGGTATACAGTTGTCCATCTGTAAATCTCTAAAAAAAGAAAGATTAATGTCCATTTAATTGAAATACCAAAATCATCATGATCCTAGGGTTACCAATTTCTTTTTTTTTTCATGCATTGATCATTTTGTTACTGTGTTTGCAGGGGAAAATGTAGGAAAAATGAATTTGCAGTGCTACATCATTAGGCTTACTTTAGTCTTTGGGTATCATTTTCATCAAGAATTCAATGAATACATTTTTTTTACATACACTTAAAACAATCAAAGTTAGCGGTACTATGATTGACTTGATGTCATTAAATTTTTTAAGGCAATTGTTAACAGTACAAAATAGTTAAAAAAAATATATAAAAAGTTATCTAAGAACAGCATATCCAGCTTGCATCATTAGTTTTTTAAAAATGTCCCTGTGGTAATTTACATTAACCATGATAAGTACCTGTGATTTCCCATAGATCTCAAAGCGATAAACAGCATGGCTTCCTAATATGTGGCCAAATTATAATGCAAAAATACAAACCATAGGCTTTGAAGAGGGTCCATTCTTAGTAATCCTCATTCCAGTCAACATTTGGAAAGATCTGACTTGGAAATTTCAGATGAAGGGAAACTAACTCATCAAATTAAGAAATTTGCTAATGGAAGCCATGTTTTATGCATGATTTGCCATTTCTAATTTTATGTCATAATAAATTAGCTACATGTATCTTACAGTTTTCAATGAGAGCAGTCAGCACATTATTGAAATCTCCATTTCCTAAATTTACACATCATAGCTAAGTTGTTTTCAACTAATTTTTTCTCCTTCATTTATTTAAATGGTTAAAACACTGAATTTTAAACCTTTTTCACATATTAATTTCAAATACTCAGATTTTTTTAGACATGTTCAAATGCTAGTAAGATTGCTTGAATATTAAATATTTTAGCAACACATGAAATTTCCAAAAAGGTCCTTCCGCCCCTGAAAAGCCCACTCCTAGAGTATAATTTCTCAAGTTTGAAATGTTTTCATAAAAAGATACAATTGTCTTGATTATCTCCTCCTGGATCAACTGGTCTGTCATCATCTCTGTTTATAGGTTAAGGAAAATATTAGGACTGGAAACCAGTACAGCTACTAAAAATTCCTTTGTCAATTTCAATCTGGGTTGAAAAATATCTAGAATCCAAACAAAATTTGAAATTATAACACTAAAGGGTTATTGCTTCAATATTGGTGAATACTTTCCTGAGGGCTGTTCCAAAATTTATCATGTAGAGGGATGAGGTAAGTAAAACGAAAATTTTCATGATCATAAAGAGTGCCTCCCATGCGTTTAATTCTGGAACAGCCCCGAGTAGAATTTTAGCTTGTACATGTTGTAAGTAAAATGTATATATACATGTATATTCTTTGAGAAATGAAATTTAACAATACTCATGCAATAACCCTTGTATTGTATAGACAAGGTTGAAAAAAGTACTGTTTTTAAAAAACATATATTTGTCACTAATGACATCAATAATATTTATCTTTATTTGCACCAGTGCAATACAATACATAATTGCACTCTAACTTTTGAGAACGTTCTGTATAAAATATGTTAATGTTGTTGCTATTATCACTATTTTTTAAATTTTGCTTTGATATTTTTTTGTGATAATTTTTCATATCGTGAACGCTACTCTAGTGATATAAGTATTTTCAGTCCTGTAGAAAAAGAATTATGACGTCCTGAGCCTACGTCATTGACATTGCCTGGGAAAACAGCTATAAACACATTATCTATGGTCTTTCAATCTCAAGATGGTTTCTTAGCTACATTTCATCCATGTCATGTCAGGACTGTCGCCCTTCAATTAGACTGTAGCTGAGAAACACCACCTTGTTTAATATAACCATCGATAATCTATAATTATAGGATAAAATTTAAACCTTCACATCCTTCATGTCCTTATCTATGTTATCCATTGGTGTTTGATGGTTAGTTGTCTCATTTGCAATCCTACCACATCTCCTTATTTTAAGAAGTACATGTACTACTCTTTAAATCTGAATTCTTAATAAGGTAAACACAAGACAGCATGACAATAAAAGGATACTCTTCATCAGACACCTGGGAGTATTGTGCTAAAATAGCTGCCTTTCTTTCTATCTCTTCCTTACTCAGATTCTCTTTAGGTTTTACTGATTCTATTTTTTGGTTTTCTAACATGTTGGATAACTGTTTTGCCAAATTCTCTGAATCTGTAAAAATAACAAAGTAGCATGTTACAAATACAAAAAGTTATTTGGATTCAGATGATTGTAAAATTTGAACTTGGTTATTTTAATCAAACTTGTTATGACACAGGGTAATTTAGAGAAAAGAGTATGACATCTGTTTCAGATATCAATATACTTATACTTTTTATGTATGTGTAAGTACTTTTCAATTGTTGAAGACAATATGTTATACTTGACTTATATTACTAATTTTCTTCTGTTTTTTAAAGTTCTTGTTAAAGCATGTACACCAGTCCTGGATGCATGAGTTACATTTTGGATGCACCATTTCATGAACCTTTGCACCTCCTGATTACACTAGCTGAGTCTTGTCATCATCAATATATTAAGTCTTATTCTTAAGTTTATAAAAAGTATCTGAAACGTGCTTCTTGTCAATATTTTGACCAAAAGTTGACTTCTGTTTTCATTCATCATGTTCATTGTTTTGTATGATGGAAAGGTCGGCTGAAATTGAAAAGAAATGATGCATGCATTGATCATGTGACCAGCTTAAAGGCAGCTTTCTCTAATGGGATATTAAAATTTGTTTACTCTATATATATATAGCTAGCAAAAGTATACCTATTTATCTGCAATAAGGTTGTTAAAAAAAGTAATTTTTATCATATGATCGCAAACCAATATACTTAAATTGATATCTATCATGACTATGTTAATTTGTTATGTAACACTCTGGAAATAATATGAATTTCATTCCAGTCCAAGCAATGATGTTGGGGAATTTGTGCTTACAAAATCAACATTTTTGTAATTCTGACTTTTTTAATTTTTGTGTAAAAACTTATTTAGTTCCTATCTTTTTATGATTTTTTTATTTAACTATATATATAAATGTGGATTCATAAATTTATATTCATGGTAACCAATTTAAGGGCATTATGGAAAAATTGCATTTTCGTGGATATTGATTTCATGGTTTTGCAAAAGTTAGCAAAAAATTGTACTTTGTTGAACATTTAAAAGCATGGTTTACCTAGGCCTTTATCCACAAAAATTGGTACTACATAAAATATTATGAATCCACAGTAAGGCACTGTATTCATATGTTTATGGAACATTATTCAAATCTGATTTGTTAATTTGAAATGAATCTTCTTAAATGTATTTCCAATTTTTTGCATTTGGTTTAGTTTAATATAACTTATAAATTTCACCTGAATTGTCTTTTGATGCAGCTAAGCCATTTATTTCTTCCCATTTACTGTAAACTTCAGCACAAATATCAGAAGAGTTTTCTGGCTGCAAAAGAGATAATTGGAAGTTATGTCATAGATTTCTGATTATTGTAATTCCACTTGACAGGTCTTGTACATCTAATCATATACATGTACCAGTAACATTTCTAAATATACAAATGTACATTCATATGACATGTATGACAATTTTACAATGACATGAATGAATGTCAATAGAAAACTTAAGTTTAATTTTTTTATTACGTTCGTAATTAAATGGTTCCGAACCCAACTTAGCATTCAGGCAATATTAGTGTCCAAAACAACAATATTTTTTTTGTTATTGTTATCATGGTTATGTTTCAATCTAATAGACTATTTTCATATTACCGACTTTTGACTACGGATTATATAATTTGTCGACTGGTTATCTTGGACATCATGGTACCAAGTCAGGTAAGAGCAAGCTAAAGAAGTAAAACCAAGCTTTCAATCGGTACAATTTTTGGGGAAAATTACCTGGTTAATATTTTTTTTTCACTACAAAATCATCGTAAAACAGTAAACTTTCCCCTCAAATTACACCGATTATATGTTTGATTTTACTTATTTTGGTTGCTCTTGCTTGACCGAGTACCATGATGTCCAAGGTAACCAGTCGACAAATTATATAATCTGGAGTCAAAATTCGGTAATATGAAAATAGTCTATTGTAGCCAGTGCCTATCTTTTCAGGGACAGCGAGCCAATGCTAGTGATGCGCTCATGGTGAAAATATTCTGCAGGTGCTGCAGAACTGTACGAAGAACACTGCCTGTGGTGGTTAACCATCTTGCTGCCGGTAGTTAATATCATGAATATGGTTGCATTTCATGTGCCAGAAAATACAACAGCTGGACGTCTGTGATATCACATGCACAACAATGACGGCATTCAATATTTGATGTCATACCCTAATGATGTTACAATTTGTTGGTATAATTTTTATTTGAAAGAGACACAGCAATTGTGACTGTGTTAATTAAAACATGGACATACATGTATGTGTCCCTGCGGCACAGCCGGTGTGGACACATGTGTCCTTCCGGCAACAAGTGTTAAACCACCGTTTTCACCCAATCTGTTTACTGGGCAGGATGTTTACAAAAGATATACATCATGTACATGTAATTTGTAAACAAGTGAGGAGTAGTACTCACAAATACTTCTGATAAAATTTCTGACATAGATTCTTTCTTTTCATCGGAAGGATCGTCTGTCTCCAAAATTCCGTTAATGTACATAACAAATACATCAGTATCGATTTCTGGGTCCAGTGATAAGAGTTTTGCACAAAGCCATTCCTCAAAAGGCTGCTGACTTGTTGCCATTTTGCTGGAGCATTCGGAATGCCGGAAGTCTGTTTTTGTCTCTCTAATACCTCACTGCAGTCCGAGAACCTCGAAAAATACCAATATGGCTGCGCCCACAAAAAAACATGATATTTTTTCTAAATTTTAAAATTCGATCATGCCAGGTCTTATATCTGCTAAAATGATGATAAAAATAAAGACTGTGAGTATTTGTCCATCCCGTATATACCTTTAGAATGTCTATTACGGAATAGAAGTTCCTTCATAATATAAGTTCCAAAAGGAAAAAAATATTCTGGAATATCCTACCGTAGTCTATAATCGGTCATAACGTTGGTTCGTTCGGATTTTGTTATTGTACTTATCATACGGGAAAACTCCGCATTGACGTCACTACGCTAATACCAGCGTATAAAATTAGTGCAGAATACATTTTTTCTACACTTCTAAATAAAATTATATCTCTAAAGATATGTTTTCATTATTATTCTTAAGTATTGTACAAAAATACAGATTTTCTAATGGCCATTTCAAACCTGACTTCCGAATGCCTAAAAGCATTTCAGAACTTAGGAAAACCCCTCTTCCGGCCTCCATTGCTTTGTTTACATTCCATTGAGCGTCATCAATCTTAATGGCAGACCAAACAGGCCAAGCAAATCGTATTTTTAAGAATTTCAAAATGGCAAGCACCTTACGTCTTCCGCGATTTTCCCGCGAAAAAAAACATCCAAATTGAAAGAAAAACTTTGGGAAACAAACGATAATCATGTAATGTTTTTGTTCAGGAATATAGAGTAGGTTAAGAAAAAACAATATACATATATTTTTCATAAAAAAAAAATTGGTTTAATATAAAGAGATCGATATTCTGACCCTGGGAACAGTATATCAATATATATGTTCCTGTCTGACCATAAGTAAATATTCATATAAAATTCCATTGATGTCAAATTTCATGGCTAATAATGAGTTTTCCTATTGAAGAATCCCCCAATTTATTGCAAACTATTTCAAAGCAATATCATACAAACAAATAATATAATTGCCTTGTACTAAAAAATCACCTAATTGACAGTAGAGCAATTTGATTGGATATAACGATTCAATGTGTCACGTGGTTTTGAAGCCATTAGAATTTGAATGTAAACAAACCGGGTCAGCTGCTCCCGTATGGAACAACATCGTACATTCAGTGACTGAGAAACAATTATGAGCAACCAAGCTTGACAATACACAGTATTAAAAAAACAAAACTAAGTCTACAGAAAAATAAAATAAAAAATGGCCTTAAGTGCACGACTTACCACCATTGCGGGATATTATTTCCACAGCCACAGGAATATGAGTGCGAAAAGAAATAGAAACGAAAAGAAACGAAACGAAAAGAAAACAATCAACATAAAACGAAACGAAACGAAAAAGGAACCTACGAAAAGTAAAGAAACGAAACGAAATAGAAACTAAAATTTAAATTGTATCAGGTCGTTCTGGCCCCAAACAGATCCCGCCCCAAGTCGATCCGGCCCCAAGTCGATCCGTCCCACGTCGATCCGGCCCCATGTCGATCCGGCCACATAATAAAATAATGAATAATTTATATTAACTTCAGAGGATTTTGGGACATTTTTTAATCAGGATTAATGGAATTTGTAAAAAGTATCGATTAATGACAGCAGGTAATTGAAGTATGCCTAATATTGGAGTAACATTCAGATGATTTATTTTAAATCGATACGAAAATGAGTATGATTAGTACTGTTTGTAAAGCCACATCAGCATGTAAATATGAAGTTATTTTCCATGATAACTTGGAATATCATGGGAGGGGGGGGGGGGGAGTTTTTATTTAATTCACACATAGATATTTACAATCCAATAGAACATATAATAAGGGCCTATGTAATCATCATCATGACTTGTTTAAATCAAATCATTAATCTATAATTGGTTTGTTTATTCAACAATTGTCTGATGATCGTGAAAAGGCCAGTCGTTAAACACATTAAGCACTTAATTCAATAAAAATCTTGATTGATAAAATTTACTCAATCAACAAGGTCTTTATAGTTTGATCTTTTATTTGAAATTCTAATAAGTAATTGTTATTTTTTTCATGTAACATGAAGAAGAAATGTACCATTATTTCTTTTCATCACTGTCTTTTCTGTGTCAGTTTTTTGTTTGTACCATTGAATACATTTTTAAATTTGACAATCTTTTTAATTCATGAACAGAATGTTATGAAAATTAAATATTCTAATAGTCATGATAGTCTTCAAAAGCCAACTTTTTACCGTCCACCTTTTATATTATTTCAAAATTCATAAACATTTATATTTATCTTTATTCCTATTCCTTATAAATATTTTTTATATTGGGGCCGGATCGACTTTAAATATGGGGCCGGATCGACTTGGAACGGATCGATTTGGGACGGAACGACTTGGGACGGATCTACTTGGGGCCGGATCGACATGAAAGCATTTAAATCAGTCAAATTGAATATTAAGCCGATTATATTTTTTTAGAAAAAATATCCTGGCCCTGATTTAGGTAAAACAAATTATCTGTCCAGCCAGCACTTGGATTAAAAAAAAAATAATCCAAGTTGCCCACATTTTTCCAATAGAAAAAAAAAATCCCAAATAAATTTTCTACATTGAACAATGAAAACAATAATCTGTCCCGCGTAGCGTTCGAAAAAAAATCCTGGTCCACATGAAAAGACCAGACTCCCCCTCCCCCAAAAAAAGTCAAATGGTCCGTGCCTTAGTCGGTTTTAAACTTGGATGCTCCAGTGTACCATTAAACAGCTAGGATGACAACTGTAGGAACGTTCATTCCGAGAGGCCAGTCAGTGTTGCCTCACCCTCACGAAAAACCACAATAAGGCACATACACTAGTAATACAATATTGTATTTGTCTAAGTATTTTATGATCTTTTTTAAGTTTTGTTTTTAAATAGATTAAAATTTTTTTATTAAAGTGATCAGTAATTTGATGTCGTTTCGTTATTTGATTTCGTTTCGTTTCGTTTTATGTTGATTTCGTTTCGTTTTGTTTCTTTTCGTTTTTCTTTTGGTTTCTTTTGGTTTGGTTTTGTTTCTTTTCTTTTCTATTTCTTTTTGCACTTTATAGGCATCCCCAGGAATATATATTACATACACAGCTGTATGTGGTGTTCCATGAATGGAAGGATATCCATGCAATAGAAGAAGATTACAGTATATGTTCCTAACGGAATAAATGGTATAGAATATTTGTTCCAACAGGAATAGATATTATGACATATTGTTTATAACAAAGTTTCCAGTGGAACTTCTGTTAGGCGGAACAAATATACGTTGACATGTCATCGTCTCAACTTTCATGATTTGACTGTTATATTTTTGTAGCACAGGCACTTGTTGTTCAAATAATTTGGAAATCTTATTTTAGTAAAAAATAATCAATTACTGAGAAAGCAAGATTTATTTTACTTCTCTATTTCATAATTGCCTTTGAGATTTCATAAAAGGCCATTTTTATTTGATGCAATGCCTTCATCAGGGTAGGAATGCTATTCATCAAGCTTAAACGCTATCATTAGTGTCAAATGAGCTCTAATTTTCTATTGTCATTCATCAAATCTCATTTTGTAGCTGCCGTTAGCCATTTGTAAATGTCAAATGGAGTAAAATGCTATATCGTTAACCTTCGTTAACAAATATTTTAATTACCGTCATTTGTACCCTCATTCATAGTAATTTTTTTTTGGACTAAGGCTTTTGTTCGTTTTCCAAGTGGTTAGATAAATCATGAGCTAAGGTATGATTGTATTTAACTAAATGGTCCAAATATTTAATAGAGGACATAATAATTTTTCTAGTCCAAGATTACTCTGACGTCCAACAGTTGTTTTGCCAGACAAGCTAGGGCCATGGGACATCCAAATATTTTTGATATGGGACGAGCTCTGACGTCCCATGGCCCCAGCTGGTCTGTCAAAACAGCCATTGGACGTCAGAGTAATCTTGGACTAAGGGAAATCTAGCTAGTTATTGATGTGCTTACAGACCAACATACATGTAGTCCTATAATATAAGACTTCAGAGTTTCATATCATTTACATTCAACGTTTTTTATCGGATATTTTTTTTTACTATCAATGTTGAAACCCGGGATTCAACATTGATAGTAAAAAAAAAAAATCCGATAAAACACGTTGAATGTAAATGATATGAAACTCCGAAGTCTTATATTATAGGACTACATTGATAGTAAAAAAAAAATATCCGATAAAAAAGTTGAATGTAGATGATATGAAAGTCCGAAGTCTTATATTATAGGACTAAACATACATGCAAACCAGGAAACAAAAAATCTCCCTCAAGCCATGTAAGTTGGAACAAGGAAAGTGAATAAATTCACAGTAACATGATTTTAACACATTTATCATGTTTATATTGACATGATTGATAAACATAATAAAATTACGAAAATATTTTTTTTTCTCCTAAAGCTTCTAAATACCATGAACACAGTTCAAAATGACATTTGACAAGGGAAACAACTCTAACTGACAATGGATTGACTATATGTTTAAGTTAGTTAGGAGTAAACTCTCATGATATCAAAAATATGATTTCTTTTTGCTATTTTTTTCAGTGATAAAATATAGCTGTAATTGAAGACAAAAAAATCAAAACAACATGGTGACAAGATACATAAAGATAAAACTACAGTTTTGTCAGCAACTTCACACGTGGAATCATCTAACATGTCTAAGAAAACATTATACTACCAAATCAGGTGACCTTGTATTTGTTTCCCTTTCCAATGACATTTTTATGAATCTAGCCTTTGAAGATTGGCTGTATGAAAATGAAAATTTAAAGACCAAATCTATTTTGCTGATGTGGAAGAATAATCCTGCTGTTGTGATTGGATGTCATCAGAATCCATATCTAGAATGTGATGTGTGGAAAATTGCTGAAAATAACTTAAGTCTTGCTCGACGTAAAAGTGGTGGAGGAGCGGTATATCACGATAAAGGAAACATAAATTGCTCTTTTATTAAAGACAGATCTTTGTACAACAGGTACAAAAATCTTGACCTTGTTGTAAAAGCTTTGTCATCCCGTTGGAACATAGATTTAAGTATAAATACTAGGGAAGATATATTATTGGATGGCTTTTATAAGGTGAGAAACCGAATGAGAAAAAATCACAGTCTTGAAAATAAATTTCATTTAAAATTTTGTAAGGGTTACCGTTTATTAAATGTACTAAAACCAAGCTTAAGGTTACACATCCCTCAGACTTAGCAGATGAAGAACCTCAGGAGAGACATAGCTATCCTATATTCAGTTAGCATCATCAATATTTAGGGTCAGTCTGTCTTTAAGTTTTTTAGACACCAATAACCATGATAACTTTATCAAAAATTCATAGAAAATGTATTAAAGTTGGACAGAAGCTTCTTCATGATTGAAATACAATATCCAGCATGTTCAGATGTCCAGAGCAAGATTTTTTTTTTCATTTTCTGTATTTCACTGACAAATGGACTCAGTTTTTTTTGCAGTGAACATTTCATGATTTAGATACAGCATGTACCATGTGTACAGATAAAGTTTTTTAGGCATTAATAACTTTTTCATCCTTTATGGAATTTAATAAAAATGATAATCATGATGATAACAGAAGCTCTAACAAGAAGCATGATACTGAGAAAAACAGTTTAACTGGAATAATCTTACTATATCTAGTGTGTGCTAGTCAAAATATTTGAAAGCATAGCATATGAAATGTTTGACAGCATAAAAAATTTGTATACAAATATAAACTCTCCTAGACAAGAAGAATTTTGATGCTTTCACTCATTTGTTGCATTTTTTTTTTATTGATGGCCTATGAGCAGAAATTAACTTGCAGTATATTGACTGTACCATTTAATTTGGTTTACAAGATCATGTTATAGAATTACTTTCATATTTATAATTTCAGGTCTCAGGAACAGCTTCTAAACTTGGACGTAATACAACCTATCACCATTTCACCCTAATATTTGATGTGGATAAAGATAAATTGTTTGAATATTTGGACAGCCCAATGTCAACGGTAACAATGTGGTTAAAAATACAGTTAACTGACAAAAACAATTTGACATATATCATGTATATCATGTATATCATGTATATCAGAAATAATGAGATATCAGGATAATACAAATCTATTATTTTACTTTTAGAACTAAAGAAACTTCAAGATAAAAAGTGTGAGATAACAAGAAGCAACTGTATTTCTTATTGTATTGTCTTAAAGTGTTTGAACATTAAACCTAAACCATATTTTTTCTTATACCTCATGCATGTCCTTGAGAGAAGAATTAATTGTTGGTACACCCCTGTTGTCCTATATTGATTAGCACTATTCTGTATGCTTAGTAGCTACGGAAAAGGGAATTTATTGGGGTTGATGTGCATCCCATGTACAAGCACAGTAGGTGTGACAGAGCGGCTAGTGAGCTTTATAAAACCAAAACATAATCTGAAAGCAACAAAGTACAATAAAAAATTTACAAAGACAAGTGAAGGTCTGCATACATGTACTAGTATATATATATCAAAGGTGGCCAATCAATATCTTCTATTTGCCATCTTAAACCTTTTTACGCATCACTAGAGTTGATGTAAGATTGGTGTATCTCCACCCTTTACTTTCTCTCCACTGCTACTGAGTTATCTTCTCTTGTCACAATTTTCTTATTATCATTATAATTTTGACTTATTGCATCTTAAGAGCTACTGTAAATTCAGAAATTAGTGCGTGCATTTTGTTATTGCAATTTTTGAAAAATGGACAAAAATGCGAGGTTAGAACTGCGATTTCAGGAAAATCTGCATACAGATATATATGTTTCAGATACATGTATCAGAATGTGAGTTCTTATTATTGTGATAATCCCCAAGTCACATTATTTCGCATAACTAGAAACCTTGCAATAATTTCTGAATTTACAGTATGCAAGAAGATCCAATGGACTTTAATTTTTGGAAATTTAGCATTCATTGACATTCAGTGTCATCTTTTTTGAAATATACACAGTAGGAATTATAATGCTATCAAGCCTGTAGAAAGTGCATGTTGTTTAGTTTGTTGCAATGGTCAGAATTTATTTACCTGCTTATTTCTCCATTCTGGGAAAAAGAAAAATTTCTCTCAGTCGGAAAAATTAAGAGTCCAATTGTAATTGTAATTGTTCTAGATTACAGTATCTGAAATTTTCCAAGTTTATAACCATAATTATGTTCATGATCAGTATAGTCATTGTTTTATATCACTTTAGCTAGAAAAAATCATTGGAAAAAGCAATTTTCTCAGATGAATGAAATTGTTATTGTACCAATGATTAGATCACTCGAAAAAATGTTGATGATACTATTAAAATTTTTCACCCTAAATTTTTTATTTATTTTAAAGGTAGGAGTTCACAGCAGAGCAACACAGAGCTTGAAGTCACGAGTAAAGAATTTATCGGACAGTATTCCTGGTGTAACATATGATTCTCTGGTTGATGTGATAGGTCAACAGTTTTTAAAGGGAAAGAAAAATGTAATTATTGTAGAAATTACTTAAGATATCACAGTTGGTAATTCAGGTTTAAAATATGATTGATTGTTGGTGTTTTAACACCACTTTAAGAGGTCTTGGTCATATATTATGGCAGCCATTTTTTATTGGTAAAGGAAGCTAGATTACCCACACTACAAAAGTCAAAAAGTCTGAAAAGACCAATTTTTGTCTGAATTTGCATGATTTTTTACTCTTCATTCTTTCTTTGTCTGAATTATTTTTAAAAATTCTTAACAAAGTATGAATCTGTCTAATAAGGTTCTTGATTTTTCTTGACAAGTGTCTTGACAGTATTAACATTGTCTTAAAATTTCTCGACACTTTCTGTATCATCTGATAAGAGTCTTCATTAGTCTAGACCAATTAATGACTGTCTTAAAATTGTCTCGATCAGTCTTGACATATTCTTGACATTTTTAATAATGTCTGAATATGTTTTGACATATTCTTGACATTCTTATTAATGTCTGAATGTGTCTTGACACATTATTGACAGTCTTAAAGCTGTCTGAATATATCTCGACATATTCTTGATGGTCTTCAAGATGTCTTGACACTATCTCAACATTATAAATTTCGCCTGAATTGTGTATATACACATTCCGCACTGTTTAAACACTTTCTCATGCTGTTATATACTCATTTTTATTATCGCTAAACTAAACTTAGAAGAATCAAGGATTTGTATAGTGGTGCACCTAAGTGGGAATATTCCAAATGACCCCCCCCCCCCCCCCCCCCCCCCTCCATGTAGTTTTAATTTTGATTTATTTTTTATTAAACATTTTAATTCAATTATTTTCACTTGGAATATGTGTCGAAGTTACTGACAAATAGCATTTGAGATTTTTGTTGGTTGAAAAACTGCCAGTCAAATTTTCTTTACTAGAATGGGTGACTTTAGGCAGTTTTAAATTGTGACCATGTGTCTCTTTTGAACCCAACCATTCATCTTGTGCGTGTGTGTGGCTAAAAAGGGGGTACATTCGTTTGGGACAAAGAATTTGTTCCCATCTTGATTCAAAAACTTATTAATTTTTTTTAGAACAAGCAAAAACTTTTTTTATTCAAAATTGAGTGTTGAATTTCATAATTTTATATCAAATCTAAATATTTGTTATACTTCCCTCCTGATTTTTGTCGAGCCTTCGACTTTAGTCGAAAAAGCAAGACATAGCGATCCTACATTCCGTCGGCGTCGTCGTCGGCGTCTACAAATATTCACTCTGTGGTTAAAGTTTTTGAAATTTTAATAACTTTCTTAAACTATCCTGGATTTCTACCAAACTTGGACAGAAGCTTGTTTATGATCATAAGATAGTATCCAGAAGTAAATTTTGTAAAAATAAAATTCCATTTTTTCTGTATATTACTTATAAATGGACTTAGTTTTTCTGCCGGGAAATATTACATTTACTCTGTGGTTAAAGTTTTTAAAATTGTAATAACTTTCTTAAACTATCCTGGGTTTCTACCAAACTTGGACAGAAGCTTGTTTATGATCATAAGATAGTATCCAGAAGTAAATTTTGTAAAAAAAAAATCAATTTTTTCCTTATTTTACTTTTAAATTGACTTAGATTTTCTGCCAGGAAACAACACATTCACTCTGTGGTTAAAGTTTTTAAAATTTTAATAACTTTCTTATACTATTTTGGATTTGTACCAAACTTGGACAGAAGCTTGTTTATGATCAAAAGCTAGTATCTAGAAGGAAATTTTGTAAAAAAATAAATCCTTTTTTTTCGTATTTTACTTTTAAATGGACTTAGATTTGCTGCCAGGAAACAACACATTCACTCTGTGGTTAAAGTTTTTAAAATTTTAATAACTTTCTTATACTATTTTGGATTTGTACAAAACTTGGACAGAAGCTTGTTTATGATCAAATGCTAGTATCTAGAAGGAAATTTTGTTTTCTTCCAGTTAACATTACATTCAGTCTGCAGTTAAAGTTTTTAAACATTTATTAGATTCATAAACTATCCTGGATTTTTACCAAACTTGGACAGAAGCTTCTTACAATCAAAAGATAGTATCAAGAGGAATATTTTTATTGATTTACTTCCTCATTTTTGTTGAGCCTGCGATTAACAGAAAAAGTAGGCGAGACACTGGGTTCCGTGGAACCCTTACAAATTTTTTTCTCAAGCAATCATAGAACAAAAAAAATGTTTAGATCTTAATCATGCATGTCTGTTTGAGATCCATTTCATAAGACCAATGATTTCTATAGAAGTCATTGATGGGACCCTTTATAAATACAGTTTTCTATTATTCCTGGAGTAGATAATAATTTTCTTTTAATCGTTGGGAAATTATCCGATTTGTTTTTATGTTAAATTATTTCACTTCATAATTTCAATGAAGAAAATCCTTTTTACATTTTGTAGTTCTAAATATTTTATATAAAATGATGATTTTCATTTTGATCTATCAAAAATATTTTCAAATTGTAGTGGCATGGTCAGTCAACTGATAATTCTAATGCAATTATTTTGTATCAATGGCTCTTATTGGATGACAATAAGTGTAAAATTCTCTATCTCCCTGTCTGTAACTAAGGAAGCCGACATTTTGAATTCCGGAATGTATTGACATGTAATTTCTCCAATGAAAAGCAAAAAGACTCACATTTTGCACCTAGAAATCTTCTTTTTATCAAATTTTATTACATTCTGAAGCGGACAAGAAGCCAAAACAATGCCAGGTGTTTACGTTTGATGCCGGAAGCATACTTATGACGCTACCTAGTTTAGGCGCCAAAGAAGATAACATCATTTCGCGGGATTTTCGTTTAATGAAAATTTACACTATAATAATGACTAAAATTGAATGATTTGTTTATTTTGCATAAGAATAGAGATAACTGTATTGTATTTGAAGCTTTGAGGACGTCCATCGGTAGTTTTACTGTCGCAAATAACTGTTTACCTGTCTCCGCTACGCGTCGCCATGTAAACTAAATTTGCGACAGTAAAACTACCGATGGACGTCCGCAAAGTTTCAAATACAATACAGTTATCTCTAAAGTTGCATGTTTGATTACAGGTAAAGCAGTAATTTTCCATATGACAGTCGCGTGTACCCTGGGGTGTGTATAACTTATTTGGAATACCTTAATTTTATGGGGAACATCCTGTCAACATGTAATACTTTAGATATATTGCAACAGATGACATTACACAAATTTTCTTCTGTTAAATCAAAGACTATACAAATCCTTGAAAGAATTAGGATACAATAATACTTTGCTATTTATAAAAACCACATTTTGGTACAATAATTGTTTATTTACCATGTTAACATTGAATATTATGCATGTAGAATGAAATATGTCTACAGTATGATTGGTTTTAATCATTTAGCAATTATTTATAAGATTTAGGAATCAACATTTGTAATTATTTACATACCCACATTTAAATTGGTTTATATCAACATACCCACATTTGTATTGTTAATACTTTAAATTTCATAGCCATATTTGTATTTATAAAATTATTTATATACCCAAATCTCCAATTATTTTATATTTACATGCCCAACTTTTGTTTTTGTTGTAACAAGTATAACTTAAAACAACAGGATATTATATAAAGAGAAATAAAGATTAAGTTATATCATGTATATTGGTCATGATTTGTAAAACTCAGTATTGTCAAGTAAATTTAAGACACAATTCAAAATGTTCAGAATATGTCAAGCCATACTGAGAAAAAATAAGAATGTCGAGAATCAGTCGAGAAATTTCAAGACAGTATTCAAATATCAAGAATTTGTCAAGAAATTCTAAGACCATATTCAGAATGTCGAGAATTTGTAGAGTAAATTTCATACAAATTTAATATTAATCAGATTTTGTCAAGAAAAATCAAGACCTAAGTCATACTTTTGGAGAATGTTGAGTAATTGTTCATGCAAATTAAGAAAAATTGGTCTTTTCAGACTTTTGGACTTTTAAAGTGCCATAGCAAACCACAAACCTTTGACAGGAAAATAAGCAATTCTAGTCAATTAAGATATGAGTTGAAAGCATCTTGCCATGAGCAGGGTTTGAACTCAAAAACTCAGTGTTAACATGCTGGTGATAACTGTAGATACAATACTTAACAACTTGGCAGCTGAGGTCTAAAATATGAACCAAAGGATATGTAAGGTATACATCAATTAGACAGCAAGCCAACAGTATACAAACCAAAATCTAGAGGACAGCATAACATCATTAAGACTTTGTACAATGTGTCAAGCTGATATTATAATATTAATGTGTTGTTTTACTGAACTAACCTCAGTTAGCAACATCCCTAACCACGTGGATTCATTTAAATTTTCGTGGATTGAAGAAATTTTTATTTTTGTGGATATTTGATTTCCTGGTTTTGCCAACGTCTGCATAAATGCATATAGAAATTTTTCACTACATTTGTGGTAACCTTTACCCACAAATCCATGTACATTTGTATCCCTCGAATGATAAAATGAATCCACAGTATGCAAGTAATTTTCAAAATGTCATATATTATTACAAGTAATATTTGTGATTTTGATATTGAAGTGACAATAAATTTTATGTATGGAAATATTAACCTTCATTAATATGTGCCTGCAAATTTTACCAGCATTGATTTTTTCCCAAGACTTCTACTCATTATGTCCCCACCTATCAGCTGAAGTGACATATAGGGATCATCTCCGTCATTTAGTGTCGTTGTTTTCTTTACACATTGTTAACCAGCATCTCCTTGAGAATAGCTCAACAGAATTTAATATAACTTGCACAAATTCTACTACTGGACATGCAATTGTTCACCTGCTTTTAATGTTTAATCTTAGTTTTTTTGTGCTTTTCCCATATCAAAACAGTGATTAAACCATGTAGACTTTTATCAATTATCTTTGAAAACAATTTTAACAAAATTCAAACATGTCAAACGATCTTGTAGATTTTTCTTCAGGACATGAAATTTTGCACCTGCTATTTTAATTTTGATCTTATTTGTTGTTTTTTTTACATTTCTGATATCAAGACATGGATTTAAGCAATTTGAGCTTTCATCAGTTTATAAATCCACAACTCCTTGAAAACTGCTTGACAAAATTTCTCCTAGATTTAATAGATTTGTATATAAGACATGAAATGGGGCACCCACTACTTTAAATTTTGATTTGAGTGATTTTCAGGATTTCCCATACCAAAAACAAGGATTTCTTCTTAATTCATTTCACGATTTGGAGATGGCAGGTGTCACATGTTTTAATTTGAAGGCTCACACATTTTATTTTTCCCCATGAACTTGTTTTTCTGAAATATCAAATAACTGTTTTATGGTTTAATGTGCTGGTTGGTGTTTTTGTAATAACAAGAATGGTCTTTGGACATTTCCAATCCCCTGTTTTCCCATCCATTTGTTAATTTACCTCATTAAAGTCAGTAATTGGATGTTTCTCAGATGGCTTTTCCTTCATTTAATTTGTAAAATTGAGAATTGAAACGGGGAATGTGTCAAATAGACAACAACCCAATCAAAGAGCAGAAAACAGCCCAAGGCCACCAATGGGTCTTCAACACAGCGAGAAAATCCCGCACCCAGAGGTGGGCTTCAGCTGGTCCCTAAATAAAAATGTGTACTAGTTCAGAGAAAATGGACGTCACACTAAACTGGAAACATTTAGATGAACCAAAATTAAAAAAACATACAAGACTAAGAAATGCCAGAGGTTCCTGACTTGGGACAGGCACAAAAATGTGGCAAGGTTGTACCTTTACAAATTGCTTGTTTTGTAATGGATACGAGTCAAGATAATATTTTCATGCATTTTATATTATAAACGTTTAATGACAATTTGTGAAATGCAACAGATTATAACTGATTATGTTTAATGACCTAAAATTGCTTGCTAATCAACCATGCTTCTTTCCCTTCTGAAATATAAAATTTAATCTGGCAGTTTCAACTTTATTAGGACACTAGGTTTCTACTATCAAGTAACAGTAAATCATTGTATTTTGAATCTCATACTTGTGAAAGTGTTTTAATATAATTGATAATCCTTTAACTTGAGAAATTTTACAATGAAATTATTTTGTGATTTTCAATAAAGTTTCTTGTACTTGTTAAAAAATGGGGGACACTTGCATGCATGCACATCAGGATAGTAACTAGAATGTCCCTTGCTTGATTGAACTGAAACTTATACAGATGAAAGATAGGGTTTTGTTTGAAGCCTATTGACCTTGGGATCAATAGGTCAAAGGTCAAGGTCACTGTTATTAACAATAGTAAAGAATAAGAAAAATTGTTTCTGGATGGTAACTTGAGTTTCTCTTGCTTGGTTGGAATGAAACTGATACAGATTGAAGATATCTAGAAGAGGAAGAGGTCTTAAGATTTTGGGGTCCAACGGTTAAAGATGAAGGTCACTGTCACTAAAACAATTAAAAAATTTTAAAAATGCCTTCCAGTTGGTAGCTTGAGTTCACATTGCTTGATTGGAATGAAACTTATACAAATGGAAGATATAGAGAAGGGGGAAAGCTGATTTATGTTAGGGTTAACTTGTCATGCTTGTAGATGATAACTTATGGTCTGATTTTTATTACAGATGGACAATTTTCAGTTTATAAATCCATCTGAAGCACAGTTCCCAGGTTTACAGAAGATTTACAATGAACTTTTTGATTGGGAATGGATTTATGGAAGAACTCCAAATTTTTCCCTCACTAGACACTTTGCTAAAAATCTAGAATACTATATTGAACATCAGATTACTATAAATGTCAACATTGAAAAAGGCAGGATATCAAAAATTGACATAGAAACTAATTTTAATGAGACATACCTAAAAATGAGGCCATTGATACAAGAACATTTAATAGGCACTAGATTTTGGTTTAATGATTTACAGATGAGCTTAAATAAGATTAAACAGGAGTCTAGACACTTTGGGGAGATTGAATTACATTCTTGGATTGGCAACTGTTTATCTAAAGTTTTATGTGTGTGATGATAGATCAATATAAATCAAGTTATTATTAAAAAATGTACTTATATCCCTTTTTTTCTTTACTTTTTCAATGCAGTCTTTGCAAAGTATAGATATATATGTTTGAAAAATGTAATATAACTATTAATTATCTTGGTGTAATCAGGGGTGTACACCTGTGTTGATTATTCATACACCTTGAGGGGCAGCCGAATTGTGTATGCAATTTTAACACCGTAGTAAAATTCTGTACACCCCTGATTACACCAAAATAATAAATTGATTTCTTATTATGCGTTCCTTTACTACTTTTTATACATGGTGTAAAATTAAAAAATTCGTATGAAGAACTCCACTACAAATTGTTTTGTCAAATACTACCTTTCTATTTGATTTTGGAGAATTTTGGAAAAAAAAAATCAAATTTTACCTTTTTTTTGTAATTTTTGAATTTTTATATGACCGCAAAAAAATTTTTGTGGTCGTATATTGGTATGACGTTGGCGTCGTCGTCGTCGTCGTCGTCCGGCGTCGTCCGAAGACACATTGGTTTTCGCACTCTAACTTTAGTTTAAGTGAATGGATCTTTATGAAATTTTACCACAAGGTTCAATGCCACAAAAGGAAGGTTGGGATTGATTTTGGGGGTTATGGTAATAACAGTAAAGGAATTAGGGGCCAAAAAGGGGCCAAAAATAAGCATTTTTGTAACTTCCAGACATAACTTGTGTGTTAGTGTATGGATCTCTCTGACATTGTACCACAAGGTTCCATATCACTAAAGGAACGCTGGGATAGATTTTGGGGGTAATTGCCTCCAAATTTTAGGAATTAGGGGCCAAAAAAGGGGCAAAAAACAAGCATTTTTCTAGTTTCATGACAATAACTTGTGTGTAAGTGTATGGATCTTTCTGAAATTGTACTACAAGGTTCCATATCACAAAGGGAAAGCTGGGTTTGAGTTTGGGGGTAATTGCCCTAAACGTTTAGGAATTTGGGGCCAAAAAGGGGCCAAAAAACACATTTTTTTCTAGTTTCCAGACAATAACTTGTGTTCAAGTGTATGGATCTCTCTGAAATTGTACTGCAAGGTACCATACCACAAAGGGAAGGCTGGGATTGAGTTTTGGGGTGATGAATCATAATGGGGGTTCAAAAAATTTTGGGGGGGGATTTATTTTTTTTTCCTTTTTTTCTTTTTTTCCTTTTTTGTTTCTTTTAAAATTTTCCATTTTAAGTTGGTTATTTCTGATTTATATTTAAAAGCAAATAATAATGATATGGTAGGAGATGCACACCAAACAGGATGTGTAAATTATTATATAATAAGTATTGTGCAATAGCAAGAAATTTTCAATTGCACAGTATTGCACAATAGCAAGAAATCTTCAATTGCACAGTATTGCGCAATAGCAAGAAATCTTCAATTGCACAGTATTGCGCAATAGCAAGAAATATCCAATAGCACAATATTGGGCAATAGCAAGAAATTGTCAATTGTACAGTATTGCGCAATAGCAAGAAATATTTAATAGCACAGGATTGTGCAAAAGAAGATACTTCCTATAAATTGCTTATTTCTTGACCAATTTCAATGGGGTTTTATTCTTGATTTCATGGGGTTCTTTAATATGCTGAATCTAACCGTGTATTTAGTTTTTGGATTTTGGGCCCCGTTTTTAAATTGGTCCACATTGAGGTCCAAAGGGTCCAAAATTAAACTTTGTTTGATTTCATCAAAAATTGAATTATTGGGGTTCTTTGATATGCCGAATCTAACTGTGTATTTAGATTCTTAAATTTTAGTTCCGTTTTCAAATTGGTCTACATTAAGGTCCAAAGGGTCCAAAATTAAACTTAGTTTGATTTTAACAAAAATTGAATTCTTAGGGTTCTTTGATATGCTGAATCTAAACATGTATTTAGATTTTTGATTATGGGCCCAGTTTTCAAGTTGGTCCAAATCGGGGTCCAAAATTAAACTTTGTTTGATTTCAACAAAAATTGAATATATGGGGTTCTTTGATATGCTGAATCTAACCATGTATTTAGATTTTTGATTTTTGGGCCCCGTTTTCAACTTTGTCCACATTGAGGTCAAAAGGGTCCAAAATTAAACTTTGTTTGATTTCATCAAAAATTGAATTATTGGGGTTCTTTGATATGCCGAATCTAACCGTGTATTTAGATTCTTAATTTTTGGTTCCGTTTTCAAATTAGTCTACATTAAGGTCCAAAGGGTCCAAAATTAAAGTTAGTTTGATTTTAACAAAAATTGAATTCTTAGGGTTCTTTGATATGCTGAATCTAAACATGTATTTAGATTTTTGATTATGGGCCCAGTTTTCAAGTTGGTCCAAATCGGGGTCCAAAATTAAACTTTGTTTGATTTCAACAAAAATTGAATATATGGGGTTCTTTGATATGTTGAATATATGGGGTTCTTTGATATGTTGAATCTAACCATGTATTTAGATTTTTGATTTTTGGGCCCCGTTATCAACTTTGTCCACATTGAGGTCAAAAGGGTCCAAAATTAAACTTTGTTTGATTTCATCAAAAATTGAATTCTTGGGGTTCTTTGATATGCTGAATCTAACCATGTATTTAGATTTTGGATATTGGACCATAATAGGTGAATGTCCAATTTAAAATTTTTAAGTTCTTAGACCACATTCAATCTGTGTTAGAAACCTATGCTGTGTCAAATATTTAATCACAATCCAAATCCAAAGCTGTATCAAGCTTGAATGTTGTGTCCATACTTCCCCCAACTGTTCAGGGTTTGACCTCTGCGGTCGTATCAAGCTGCGCCCTGCGGAGCATTTTATTCTATTTATTTTTTTTATTTTTCTGAAAATTTTTATCCCTGTGTGAACTTGGTTCCAGTGTTATTTACACCCAGGTAATTAACCAATCAGATAGCAAGATTCTTTCTTCATAAGAAATAAACAATTATATTCCTCAGCAGTTGGTGCCATTTGACTGCGGTATAGCAATCTTGAAAAATCAGTTTGGAAAACAGTAAAGAATTGGTTAATACGATTTATGAAACTAACAAATTTTTTTTTATCGTTCAATAAACATGATAAACAGAATGAATTTTTACTTTCTTTGTTTCTGATTTGAAATTTTCAAATCATAATTATGTCTGTTAATATATGTTCCACTATAAAACTTTATATTCAGTTTATATGTAATTAAGCAGATTAAACATGTCAATACACTGATAAAACTGTTTTTTTTTTAAATTTTATGTCTTTCTGGGTGTGTTTTGTTCAGAAGATCTTAAATCTTGTACCAAGATATTTTATTGTGTAGGATGAGAAAGCAGCTCAACACAAATTACAAAAAGAGACAGCTAGAGGTCAACATACAGTCTTCAACAATAAACAAGTGTCTTTACAATATTATGCAATAAAAAAAAGGAGATATGGTATGATTGCCAATTACACAACTATGAGGCAACAAGTTCTTAAATCCTCAAAGTCAAACTATTGTTTGAACGAATTAAACAGAAACACTAAATTCCCCAATTAACAAAAAAATACTGTAAATTCAGAAATTATTGCGAAAAATGCGACAGGCTTATAATCGCAACATTTTGAACTCGCATTTTGATTATTTTTATATGAATGAAACAGAAATTTTCTCAATATCCCAAAAAAATTGAAATCGCATTTTAGTCCAAAATGACAAAATCGCAATAATAAATGCACGCAATAATTTCTGAATTTACAGTACTAAGATATATGACATGTGCAAGAATTAACTTGCTGTGATACTTTTTCCTGAATTTAAATCACAGGGCTAGAATGGATTTATAGTAACCTCCCTTTAAATTTTCATGAATTTTCACTTTTGCTGTTTCCAGAGTTATGTAACTTTATTCCTGAAAAATTGATTTTTTTCATATATTGCCTACTAACCATGCTAACTACAGTATGCTAGGATTGATTTACTTGAAACTTTACACTGTTATTGAATGAAAGGAAGCTTCCTTTCGATTTTCAGGTTTGTCATTTCTAGATGTACAGGATTTCAGATTTCAGATGGACAAGGTTCATTTTTGGTCAAATCTGGCCTTGAATTTCAACTTTATCATTGTATATGAAAATGGCCATTTTTTTATGTCTTCATAAGAGTACATTATAGGCTCGAAAGCCAAAACATTTTTGACATATTTCTATGTGAAATTTGTAGTAATTTTTCTGGATGAAAAAAAACTTAAAAATATTACGGCCTTTTTCAACCTACTCTTTTTTCACCTCTTTTTATACGACCGCAAAAAAATTTTTGTGGTCGTATATTGGTATGACGTTGGCGTCGTCGTCGTCCGAAGACACATTAGTTTTCGCACTCTAACTTTAGTTTGAGTGAATGGATCTCAATGAAATTTTACCATAAGGTTCAATACCACAAAAGGAAGGTGGGGATTGATTTTGGGGGTTATGGTACCAACATTTAAGGAATTAGGGGCCAAAAAGGGGCCAAAAATAAGCATTTTTGTAACTTCCAGACATAACTTGTGTGTAAGTGTATGGATCTTTCTGACATTGTACCACAAGGTTCCATATCACAAAGGGAATGCTGGGATTGATTTTGGGGGTAATTGTCTCCAAATTTTAGGAATTAAGGGCCAAAAAGGGGCAAAAAACAAGCATTTTTCTAGTTTCATGACAATAACTTGTGTGTAAGTGTATGGATCTCTCTGACATTGTACCACAAGGTTCCATATCACAAAGGGAATGCTGGGATTGATTTTGGGGGTAATTGCCTACAAATTTTAGGAATTAGGGGCCAAAAAGGGGCAAAAAACAAGCATTTTTCTAGTTTCCAGACAATAACTTGTGTGTAAGTGTATGGATCTTTATGAAATTGTACTACAAGGTTCCATATCACAAAGGGAAAGCTGGAATTGAGTTTGGGGGTAATTGCCCAAAAAGTTTAGGAATAAGGGGCCAAAAATAAGCATTTTTCTAGTTTCCAGACAATAACTTGTGTTCAAGTGTATTGATCTCTCTGAAATTGTACCACAAGGTACCATACCACAAAGGTAAGGCTGGG